CATCCCAAATTGAGGGTCCTTATAAAATATTGTTTCAAACTCCCTATAACCTAAGTCTTTCAATACACCAATTAGCTCAAAATAACTTCATTTGTCTACATCTATCCTCAAATCATCTACTACTCCATTCTCATATACACTACGACCTTAGTCTGTGAACTCACCACTGTGATGAATTTTGAGAGTTATGTATTCATCCATGATACCTAATCATATCATGTAAGTAATTAACGTTTACACTAACAGATTTACATAAACCCTAAATCTGAACCTCTACGAGAAAACCCTGAATCGTCTTCAATCCTCAATTAGAAAACCCTAAATCAGAAAACCCTAAATCCTTCGTGTCTTAAATCTTTGTGTCTGCAAACCTTGAATCGTCTGGGTAATGGTTACACTTCTCCAAGCTTGTCCTGCCTTCTTTTTCTGGGTAATGGTTACACTTCTCCAAGCTTGTCTGAGTTTTTCTTCCTCTAAGACACTTCACATCCACGTCAGCAGCTCCACCTGGACAAACGTGGCAATTTTTTCAAAGTTGACTAACGACAACACACGGAAGGATAAATGTGACACCAATTTAAAAGTTAAAGGATCAATTTGCCACTTTTTAAAGATAAAGGACCAACATGGACCCCGAGCAAAAGTTAAGGGACTAAAAATGTTATTTTGCCAAAATATATTGTGACACTAAATAAAAATTTAAAAGTCTGTTACATATTACATTATAATTATAAAACTTAACAAAAATATTTATCAACTAATTCTAAACAATAAATTTATATCAATACTATTGTATTTTCATTCTATAATCTATAATCTATAATCTATAACATATATAAAGGCAAAACTTGTTTTTTTGGTGTAGCCTATTTTTATTCCAATTATACCCTTTTATTTTTTATTTTAAAATTCAACTTCTCTTTTACTACCTTCTCTTTTATTAAGAGTTATATGGTGGTTTGAACAACTATTTCATTCAATTTTTTTTATATAAAATTTAAATCTATAACATATATAAAGGCAAAACATGTTGTTTTGGTGTAGCCTATTTTTATTCCAATTATACCCTTTTATTTTTTATTTTAAAATCCAACTTCTCTTTTACTACCTTCTCTTTTATTAAGTGTTATATGGTGGTTTGCACACCTATTTCATTCAATTTTTTTATATAAAATTTAAATCTATAACATATATAAAGGCAAAACATGTTGTTTTGGTGTAACCTATTTTTATTCCAATTATACCCTTTTATTTTTTATTTTAAAATTCAACTTCTCTTTTACTACCTTCTCTTTTATTAAGCGTTATATGGTGGTTTGCACAACTATTTCATTCAATTTTTTTTATATAAAATTTAAATCTATAACATATATAAAGGCAAAACATGTTGTTTTAGTGTAGCCTATTTTTATTCCAATTATACCCTTTTATTTTTTATTTTAAAATTCAACTTCTCTTTTATTAAGCGTTATATGGTGGTTTGCACAATTATTTCATTCAATTTTTTAATATGAAATTTAAATTAAAATAAAAAATAAGCACACAAAAAATACCGTTTATATTTTTAAACGCCTGAATATTAAAAAAGAGGACAGACGGACGCGGAGTGTCTGTTTGAACGCTAGTTGATATTAAATGCGCTACTAATATATTGATGTCTCTTTAGTTGATCGGTTATACCTAAAAAGTCCATTCATTTCAATAACTCATAGAAAACCATCTGAATTTCACAAATCTCTCAATAGTTTTTCGGTATAAATAAAAAAATTTATCTACAATTTTCTTACATTTATTTCTCACATGCGAGGATTGTAAAATATGTCTAAACCTTCTCATCATTTGTGTGCAGTTAATTATTATTTTTGGTAAGAACTTTGTTCTACCCATGAAACTTTAGATATAAGATGTCTATTTCTCCATTTTCATTAATTAAATATTTTTTACTATTATTAGTACTAGCGTCCAGACGGACACGTCTGTCCGCTTTTATTAATGCACAAATGAGTCAAAATATAAACAGTATTTTTTGTGTATTTATTTTTTATTTTAATTAAATTATTTATAAAATGATAAAAAATAGTAGAATAAAAGAGATGTGTATATCACCATATAGCCGTTAATAAAAGAGAAGTTGAGATTTAATAAAAGAACTGAAAATGGTATAATTGGAAAGAGAAAGGCTACACCATAAGGAAGTTTTGCCTTTATATATATAGTTATAGATAAAGTAAGGATAAAATTGATAAAAAAAATAGACTATATCAAAAAAATGTTTTAACTTATATATAATCTATAATCTATAACAATATAGAAAGACAAAACATATTTTTGGTGTAACATTTTTTTATTTTCAATTTTGTCCCTAATAAGTTGATTCTATTACATTTTGTTTATTAGTTAGTTAGTATTCCTCATCTTTCATAACTTCTATGTGGTTTTTAAACCAATAAATCTCCAAATGAAAGATATGGAAGAAAGAAGACAAAGATGAAAATGAAAGAGAAATATAATAATGGTAAATGCTATCTTTTCTATAGTATTTTCTCTAATTTAACTTTAATTTTTCTTTTATTTTCTTTTGGCAACGCTTATTAATATTTTGTTTTTAATTAGTCTGAAGGCAGTGAAGTGAAAAAAAAATGTTATTAACATAAACATTGAGATTTTTTTTATGGAGAAGAGGTTATTTTTTTCAGTTTTCATGCGGTTTTTTTTTTTAATTTTAATGTTCTCACTAACTTTTAAAATTCAACCATTTTGATTGATTCCTTTATCCATTTTTAATTTTATTCACTTTGTTCTATTGTTTGATACAATATATAAAGACAAAATATATTTTTGGTGTAACCTTTTTTATTTCCAATTTTGTCCCTAATAAGTTGATTCTATTATATTTTATTTATTAGTTAGTATTCCTCTATCTTTCCTAACTTCTATGAGGTTTCTAAACCAATAAATCTCCTCTCTCCATTTTATATTCTACCAATTTTATATAAATAGAACAAAAAAAGATTAAGAGAGAGAAAAAAAATGTCTGAGAAGCAAATGAAAGATATAGAAGAAAGAAGACAAAGATGAAAATGAAAGAGAAAGATAATAATGGTAAATGCTATCTTTTCTATAATATTTTTTCTAATTTAACTTTAATTTTTCTTTTATGTTCTTTTGACAACGCTTATTAATATTTTGTTTTTAATTAGTTTGAAGGCAGTGAAGTGAAAAAAAATGTTGTTAACATAAACATTGGGATTTTTTTTATGGAGAAGAGGTTATTTTTTCAGTTTTTATGCGATATTTTTTTAATATTAATGTTCTCACTAACTTTTAAAATTTAACCATTTTGATTGATTCCTTTATCCATTTTTAATTTTATTCATTTTGTTCTATTGTTTGATTAATATGATAAATATTATTGAAAATTATGCAATATCATCGGTAATGCATAAGAAAGAAAGGACTCAAATTTCTTTATGTACTTATTATTTTTAATATGTAATTGAGTCTTAATAATAAATTCATATTTTTGGTGTAGTTTCGTTGAGTATCAATCATACTCGTAAGTTTTTGTTTAAATAAAGTATGTTGTTACCTACAACATGAAAATATTGAGTTAATACTCTTTTTTCTTTCTTACATTTTTCTTTTCTCATGATCTTTCTATTTAATTAAATTCTCTAACAGTTTTTTTTTTAATTTGGCGGTTACCATCATTTAAAAAAATTAAACAATTACCACCATCTCTAAATTTTATTTATGCCGTTGTCCCCATGTTAGATTTTCTATTTTGTTTAATAGAATTAATTAAATTATTTGATATCCATGAATTTAAATTGACTATTGGTATATTTAATACAAATTGTTTTAAATTTTTAATTTATTTTAAAATAAATTAAAATAAAAAGTAATGTCACATAAAATTATATTATTTAATTAATTGAGAGTATCATTGTTCGATTAAATTCAATGTACTATATTGTTCACCATAAAATTATGTAATTGATTTTCTATTGTGCTTAATAGATCATTCTTTCATTCTATTTTACGATTTTTTAATGTATTTATATTTATGTTTACTCATAAACCGACTAAAGTAGTTATAGAAAGATCAAGAAAAATAGAAAAATGCAAGAAAAATAAAAAAGATATATTTTACATGTTTGTATTTTTTAAATATTTTTAATTATAAAAATTTAAATATTAACAAAATAAATAGTCAGACAGCACAAGAGAGAAAAGTTAAAGAAATATTTCATGTAGCTAAAAAAATATTAAAATAAAAAAAGAAAATTTTATATTAAATATTTCATTTTGCATTTTAATTTATTTGACAAATAAATTATGAAAAACGATATTTTAAAATTTTTTTTGTGTGCATATTAAAAAAATATACAAATTAATATGAGAGTGAATGTCACATATAATTTATTATACAAATAATTTAAATTTAAATTTAAATAATATTTATTTTTTAGTGCGTAAAAGTATTAAAAAAAGTGAAAAAAATTGATAAAAATTTAAGCTATACCAAATTTTTTTTGACTTTATATATGTAAAAAAATAAAAATAAAATTGATAAAAAAAGTAAACTATACCAAAAAAAAAATTTATTTTAACTTTATATAAAGAGATTATAAATATATTATAAATTATAAATTATAAATTAAAAACATATTTAAGCTTTAAAAAAATATTGAAATTTTTTTTCAGAAAAACAACTACAATAGTAGAAGAGTTTACGGTTTGGCACTGATTGTATTTATCCATTTCATCGAAACTGTTTACCGAGCAGGTGAGTGAAACTTGTGGACCCCACCTCCTCCTTCTTCTTCTCGCAAACGGTTTCCGAAAAATCCCAAAACCCTAAACTCAACCATCTTCAATTCAATTTGACCTTCAATTCCTTTTTAATCATTCCTTCTTCAATTTAACCTCTAAATCCCTCGGCAGCTTTCAATTTCCGGATCTTCTCTTTCTCTCAAATTCTATCACAAAATCCCTTCATGGATGTACCAGTGAAGACAGAATCGGAATCCACAACAGTTTTGCTCAATCAGGCTCACGAAATGCCCACGGTGAATGATTGCATTGTTTACACTCGAGTCAAAAGGTCTCTCAATTCGTGCAATGGTTTTTCCGAGGATGAGGATGTTGATTGCAAGAGATTCAGGAAAGATACAGAAACATCTATTGTATTGGAGGATGTATTGGAGAATGGAGTCGACTGTTGCACGGAAAATAGGGACGGCGGCGAGTGTGGTGATGGTTTGAAGAGTGAGTTTCGAGAGGCTGCCGCCTTTAAACGGATTACTAGATCGGCTATGAAAGCGGAAGCTGAGTCCAGTAAGGCGCGGGAAAGGAGTTTCAAGCGGATTACACGTGCTATGAAAGCGAAAGTTGAGTCTGATGAGAAGACTGCCCATGTGTTAGGACAGAGAGGTGCTGTCGGTGTAAGAGGTAAAGGTAAAAGCGATGGTATGGTGACAGGGAGAAATTTGAAGCTGTGTACAGGTTCAGCAATGAAAGAAAATGCCGTCTCCTTTGATGTGACGGTAGTAGAACAACAAGGTGCTGCAGTTGTAAGTGTTAAAGGCGATGTCGAGGTGCCAGTGAGAAATTTGAAGCGGCTTACACGTTCAACAATGAAAGAAAAGGGAGAAAAGGGTGAGTCCTGTGAAGAGATGATAGAACAACATGGTGCTGCAGTTGTAAGTGCTAAAGGCGATGTTGTGGTGCTAGGGAGAAATTTGAAGCGGTTTACACGTTCAGCAATGAAAGAAAAGGCCGAGTCCTGTGAAGAGACGTTGACGGTAGTAGAACAGCAAGATGCTGCAGTTGCAAAGGCTAAAGGCGATGTTGCGGTGCCAGTGAGAAATTTGAAGCGGATTACATGTTCAGCAATGGAAGAAAATGCTGAGTCTTGTGAAGAGACGTTGAATGTGGTAGAACAAGGTGCTGCAGTTGTAAGTGGTAAAGGCAATGGTAAGGTGGGGATGGTCAAGCGGTTTACACGATCGGCGGTGAAAGCAAATCCTGAGTCTGGTGAGGAGACAGTGACTGAGTTAGAACAACAGGTTGCTGCCGTTGCAAGTGGTGAAGGATCAGTCAGGATGTTCAAGCGGATTACACGATCGGCTTCCATGAAAGCAAATCCTGAGTCCGGTGAGGAGATAGTGACTGAGTTAGAACAGCAGGGTGCCACTGTTGCAAGTGGCGAAGGTTCAGGGAGGATGTTCAAGCGGATTACACGATCGGCTTCCATGAAAGCAAATCCTGAGTCAGGTGAGGAGATAGTGACTGAGTTTGAACAGCAGGGTGCTGCCGTTGCAAGTGGTGAAGGTTCAGTGAGGATGTTCAAGCAGATTACACGATCGGCTTCCATGAAAGCAGATCCTGAGTCCCGTGAGGAAACGGTGACTAAGTTAAAACAAAAAAGGGCCGCCGTTGTGGATAATATCAATGGTGTGTTAGCTGCCCCGAGAAACAAGATGGAGTTGAAGATGTCGAAGAAGATTGTGGTTGATAAGAAGCCTACAACGGTCAAAGAGCTCTTCCATACTGGATTACTTGATGGCGCCTCCGTGGTTTACATCAGCGGCCTTAAGAAGGTTACTAATGTTGTTTTGATATGCTTAGCGTCAAACAAGAAGTTTGCATTTAAGGAAACATATTTAAAACTAGAAGGATGGATAAACAGTTTGATAATTGATTAAGCATTTATGTAAATGATAAACTATTTTTAACAATCAAAGAAGGAATGTGATTAAATTGTTTTCATTCTAAGTTGTTTCTACAAGCTATCTTGACTAGCTTTTCGAAACAAACTAGTAAAGATCTCAGTGCTTAGAAAACATAACGAGAAACATATATGTGAAATTGTGTCGCACATTATATTATTAGGAGAAAATTTTTCTTAGAATAAATAGACTAATAAAATCTTTTCCATATTTAGTGCATAAACCCAAATAAATTGTAATATATAAATGCAAAGCAAACTCTAGTAGCATTGTATTTACTATTGAACTTTAGGAGGGTGGTTTAAGTTGAAAATGGAAAGTGGATTAATTTTTTCGCTGCTGAAGATTGTGTACTGATTATCTGAGGCATTAGAAGATGGCATAAAGCGTTACTAATCAAACACATTTAAGCTAATAGGAATTATTATTATTAGTTACACCCCGAACATGGCATTAATAACTTGTAACATTGCACTCCAACACGATATACATTAGTGAATTAGATACTAGCTCTTTGAGCATCTAGTAATTTGATCATGGATTTTTTCATCATAAGCTTCAAACTGGTGCTCTTGGTGGTCTGTTTTTGTAAGAAATGCTGCTTTAATATATATGTTCACTACCCGTGGTGTTTAATATTGCAATTTTGAAATATTTTTTATTACAGGCTCCAGGATTAAGGGGTGTTATAAGTAATGGGGGAATATTGTGCTCGTGCAGTCTGTGTAAAGGAAGCAGGGTGAGTTGTAATTCTGCCCCTGCTTATCCGTCTGTTTCTTGGGTCTGAATCTATCCCATCATTCACTTTGTCTTTTTTAAAGGTTATTCCACCTTCCCAATTTGTGATCCATGCTTGCAAACAATATAAGAGACCAGTAGAGTATATATGCCTTGAAAATGGGAAGAGCCTGCATGATCTGTTGACAGCATGCAGGAGAGCTCCCCTGCATGATTTGGAGGCAACAATTCAAAATTTTGTTCACTCTCCACCCGAGGAAAAATATTTTACTTGTAAAAGGTGCAAAGGTGAGCTTCGTGTCTCCTATTCGGAATCATTTTATTTTATTTTATTTCGTCTTACAGTTTGTCGTGCTGATCCTGATCTTGTGTGTTAACATTATGGGAAGATAGTGTATAGCTTTCTTTATTTTTCCTTTTCTTTTTTTGTTTTCCTCGGGTGCTTCTTGATATCATTATTTTACCCATAGGATGTTTCCCTTCTTCATGCATGGAGAGAGTGGGACCTATATGCTGTTCTTGTGTAGAATCATCTAAACCTGAAGAAAGTTCGAAGAATGTAGTTGGCAACAGAATCAGGTACTCGAGTCATTTCTACCCATGTTTTGCTCTGTTGAGTGAATTACTTCATGATGAAATTTTGGATACAGTTGATTTTTTATTGTTTAATCTACACATTTTGAGCAGGCTATTACAGAAATGTGAACACTTTTTTTATTCTCATAAATTAATTAGGTTTGCCATTAAATTCTCATTTTATTGAATTTCTGTCTGCCGATACAGCGATCTGTTAAAATTATTTTATCTTAAGCTGCTACTAATGGTTATATGATTCCAAACAATCTAGACTAGCATAATACAACTAGTGTATTCAAGTTTTTATCAAGTTACTCCATGCCAGTGAACACAACAATTCATATTCAATTCATACTCGTGACCATACATTCATTGCTTGGATTAGAAACAAGTAGGATTTAAAGTTTGTAGACAATTATGATAAGCTTAATCCTACCCCTAACCCCTCTCGGCTTTAATTACCACGACTTTGGGCTGCCTTTATTGCAACGCCCACCACCTTCACTGTGCTGGGTGTAAGGGAGTGTGTTTAGCCCCTCATTGCCTAGAGATATGGTTTAAGTAATGCTTACAAGTCTATCTTCATATAATTTAGTTTTGTACGGTTGGTTTAGGTCAAGTTTGAAGATGGCATTAGAGTTTATCTTAGACCCTTTGTTAGGCCTCCCTAATACCTTCCGGCCTTAATTACAACAACTTTGGATTGCCTTCATTGCAGCGTCCAATACCTTCATTATGCGGGGTTTAAGGATGTGTGTTTAGCCCCCCATTGCCTAGGATATGGTTTAAGTAGGGCTCATACAGTGTTATCAATCCCAAATAGCGGAGCGGAGCGACTGACCCCAACAAGGGGACATGTAAACTGCATTTTGACTATTTTTTAAATTAATTATATGAATAATCTATAAAACATATATTTAATGTAAAACCAAACAAATAAAAGACAAAGAAGAGGAATAGAGTTATTAAATGACTATTACTTAAAAAAACAGAGGACAATATGAATAAAGAAGAGAAAAGAAAGAAGAAGAAAGAAGAGAAAAGAAAGAAAGGGGTAGAAAAGAAGACTTCAAAAAAACAGAGTAACAAAGAAAAAATAAGAAAGAAGAGAAAAGAAAGAAGAAAGAAGAGAATAGAAAGAAGGGAATAGAAAGAAGAAGAAGAGAAAGAAGAGAAAAGAAAGAATAAAAGAAGAACACAAAAGTAAAAACCAACTTGAGAAGAGGGGATTGCAGGCGGCGACGCTAAGAACTGAAGCAGACGGACGCAGCACTGGGAAGAAGATCGTGAGAAGAAAACTCTGAGAACTGAAGTGAAAGCGTGTGAGAAGAACATCAAATCCTTTGTTTTGTGTTCGAAGTTAGGGCAAGTTAAAGAAATTCCACAAAACTCCTTGAACGTTTATTTATTTTACTGGTAAATCTGGTTTTTTGCGTTCAAAATAGTTCAAACCTGCTCGGGCCGGGAAGCGCTCCTCTCCCACTACCCGCTAAACATCAAATAGTGGCCGCTATCTCAAACTGAGATTCGAACTGCTCCTCCATAGCGGAGGGTCACTGCTCCCGGCCGCTATCCCGGGATAGCGCCACTATCGGCCGCTATTGATAACTCTGGGCTCATAAGACTCAAACGATCCTCATGTAATCTAGTTAGATCTTAAGCTCAATTTTGAAGATGAAGCCACCCACATTGTCCACGCTTAAGGCCTATAGCCCTGTGTGAGGGTGTGTGTTGGAAAGCCGCCTTAATTGCAGTTTGCACCAAGTTGCCTAAATTGCGTCAACTTTGTTGCCACTTTTTACAGGCTCGGACACCTTCGTGGTGCTGGGCGTTAGGGTGTGAGTAGTCCAACATTGCCTAAATATATGGCTTAGGCTGCTAGGTAGTTAATAGTAGTGGCAGATAGTGCTGGGATCACGTCTTCGCCGTCGCGGAATAAGGGTGCGGCTGCCACAGAAGAGATCATGCATGGCATGTAGCTTAGACCGCGTCTGTCGCATGCTCTCTTCCGCGATATTGAAGACGACAAAAACCCTCATTTTCCTCTAAAATCTCAAAATTTAAAACTTTACAAGGGTATTTTGGGTTTGTCACACTCGAACCTAGTGTTATTCTCTTTTAGCAAGCATCTCTCTTCCCTCTTCTGCTAGCTTCCTTTCTGCTTCCCATTTTCTGCAATTTAGCAGCGCACCTCGTCCAACTTCCGCACGTCATCAGATTCTTGGTTTTCCTCTCTTTTGTTTCCAGTTTCCTTCAATCTTCTTTCCTACTTTCCTTCTGTTCTTTATTTTTATTTGTCCCATTCTGTTTTTTTCCTCCTCTCTTACATTTCCTCTTTATTTCCTTATTGTTTTTATTTTTAATTTTGTTCCTCTAGTTTTTTTTCAACCTCAGTTTTGTTATTGCTTCGTATTTTTCTTTTGGTATTTTTTTCACCTTCGCCTAGTTACTTTAAGTCTAAAGGGCCCAACTTTTGTTGATATTTAAGTGTGTTTTGATAAAGATTTTTAACTTTTTGAGTTATTTGTTTAATTTTACATTAAATATGTGTTTATAGTATTATTTATGTAATTTGTCCAATTTTTTCATCAAATATCATGCCATCTAAGCAGTGCCTAAAAGGCTGGAGCAATTTTCACTTTACAACTCGGTTTTATGAGGCTGAGTTAGTCATAAGTCTGAAGTCTAAGAGAAATGGTAGGTTCGCTTTGTTAGCGTTCTACGAGGTTTAGTTCGTTCTAAGTCTGGAGTCTGAGAAAAATGCTAGCTTCAGTTTGTTTAAAGCGACCACATGAAAAAGTTCAATGAGATGTTTCGAGGTCTCCCATTGCTCCTCTCTAATTTATATTTTCTTTTCATTTTATATCAATATTTCAGGTCCCCTAGGCCAGTGTTGGTCTCCAAGTCATCCCGTGCTTCTGAGCTGTCAATTTCTTCAAAAAGTAAGAGACATGGGAAGAAAAGAACAAAGTTAGTATTCATGTCTATTTCATCTATCCTACATATCAAACATGTATATAGATTTGCATAATATTTGTTTTCATAGCCCAATCCATATGTGTTTACATGGTTTCAGTTTTTTGGATTTCATGAATTGATTTTCTCTCTATAGTGGTCTGCTTTGTTGTTTTCTTTTAACTTACATGCTGCAAACCGTGTTATTAAGGTCATCGAAAAGGGACAACAGCTCAAGCTCTTCCAAGAGTGCTTCTGTGCCTATTCTACCCTGGAAGAAAATTACTCCGGAGATCAAAAAGAAGTTTGTACCTGCCTATTTACTTTCTTGGCACCCTTTATGTAATGTTTACAACCAAATAATTTTTTCGTCACCCTATTATTCTAATCAAGTGTTATTACCAGGTCACTGTCCGTAAAGTTGAAGACCACTTCAAATTGTTTATCTACACAAAATAAGAGTCAATCGAAGATAACTAAGAAGTTAGTTCCATACTCCCCCTCTCCACTTTTGGATAACAGCTGTAGTGTTTTATCACTGTTAGGCGATGTTAATCTTGTTTGGTTTATCCATTTTATTCTTTTCCAGGGATTTTCGGTTGCACAGGTTAGTTTTTGAGGAAAATGGATTGCCTGATGGAACTGAAGTAGCTTATTATGCAGGCGGACAGGTTTGCTTGTGCTTGATGCAACAGTTATTGTATGTCTATTATACTGCTGTGCTGATGGCTATTCTGATTGACAGAAATTGCTTGAAGGTTTCAAAATGGGCTCTGGAATTATGTGTAGATGTTGCAACACTGAGGTATCCTCACTTGCACACTTAGCCTGTACATTTTTAGGCATTATTTGAGATGTTTAATTGTGTATAATCTCCTTTAAATGTTTAACACTGTGCAGATCAGCCCGTCACAGTTTGAGGTCCATGCAGGCTGGGCTTCTCGCAAGAAACCGTTAGTCTTTTTCCTTTTCTTTTATCTTGGGGTGGTGGGAGTCTGGGAGGGATATTAAGCAACTATTTGACCTGTTTTTTGCTCAAGCCTATGAATTTTATTGGAAGTGCACGTTTTCTTGGGCAGTTATGCATACATTTACACATCAAATGGGGTGTCTCTTCATGAATTATCAATATCTCTCTCCAAGGACCGAAAATACTCTGCAAATGACAATGATGATTTATGCGTTGTTTGTTGGGATGGTGGAAATCTGTTGCTTTGTGATGGTTGCCCAAGAGCATTTCATAAAGGTCAGATATACATTACAAAATATTTGATGGGGAAAATTATCTATTTGCCAGTTGCTAACCGTTGTGTGAAATGTGGAATCATCTTTTTCCCCATTATTTATCCTCTTATTCATATGCTATTGTTGCAAATAATATATTAAAGGGCCATGAGGATCAGGAACAAAGGTTACCCAAATTATAGTACGTTTTTGTGATCTGTCACATGCCTACTATACGCGATTCTTGCAAGCATAAAAATGGTGAAGGACAAAGTGAAAAGATTGTTTATCTATTCTATTTTTTTGCAGAACATTTTTCCTTGAGTAAATTTAAATACCTCATTAACAGTTGTGTTGTACTAGATTTATTTATTTTTTACTTTTGTTATGTGTACTAGATTTATTATCTAAATGTTTCAAAGATGGGATAATCACATGTTCAAGTTATGGAATTAGCTTCCTGGATATGTTAGATAATGCTGTTTACAAAAATACCTACAATGGTGATCTGACCCTTCCTTGGAGTGGACCCTGCTAGGACTATTTTCGTATAAGCTTTAAGCTGCTTTTTTTTATCTCTTTTTTAATCTTGCTAGAGTCTCAAATATAGTTTATCACGTCTTAAATCATCTCTTATGATTGGCTTTCAAATTTCCTTATTCATGATAGTTTGTTTCCTTATTAAATTAAGTATATTTGTTTAGTAGTAGTATCCATACAGATTATTGTTTTTTTCACTTTTAATAGCATTTTGTTCATGTCATATAAATAATTTATCATTCCTAGTATTCCATTTCCCGTCTTATACCTAAAAAACTTACCCTATGACTTCAACATTTGCTTTATTTGTTAAATAACAAGATAGTCATCAGTGAACTTTTATGTTCCGATTTTTGGAATGTACAGAATGTGCATCTATATCAAGTATTCCACGTGGTGACTGGTACTGTCAATTTTGCCAAAACATGTTCCAGAGGGAGAAGTTTGTCGCATACAATAACAATGCTTTTGCTGCTGGAAGAGTTGAAGGAGTTGATCCTATTGAGCAAATCACCAAGAGATGCATTCGCATAGTCAAAGACTTCGATGCTGAGCTTAGTGGGTGTACTTTATGCAGGTAACTTTGTAAAGATCAGAAACCATTTTATTTTTATGGACTTGGATTTTATCTTAACTGTACTTCATATTGGCAGCTGTCACTGTATGGATGTACTTCTGTATTTAATTAATTGTGAACTAGTATTGTATATTTGTGATTTTTATGAGATGCACTATATAGAGAAATTTTTGCATGTGCAGGGGTGTTGATTTCAGCAGGACTGGCTTTGGTCCACGTACAATAATATTGTGTGATCAGGTATGCACTCTAGTGTTGATATCCCTACAAAGGCCTCTCTAGTATAGAGTTCATTTTTTCTCTCTCCTTTTTTTATAATGGTTTAGTGATTGATGCACATATGAATTATCTACTTAGGGGTTTGTATTGTTTTATTGAGCCAACTTGATGTTGCCCCCACTGTTTCTGTAGTGTGAAAAGGAGTATCATGTTGGCTGTTTGAGGGATCACAAGATGGCATTTCTAAAGGTGTGCAGTTGTTTATATATGGATACATTAGTATAGGCACCAACTTTCCTTTTGTCTTCTGAACATATGTTCGTAACAAATTACAGGAATTGCCAAAAGGTAACTGGCTTTGTTGCAACGATTGCAAGAGAATACATTCTACTTTGCGGAATGTTTTAGTTAGAGGGGCTGAGAGACTCCCTCAATCTCTCTTGGCTCTGATAATGAAGAAGCAAGGAGAAAAAGGATTGGATCCCATCAATGATGATATTAATGTGAGTTGGAGGCTTCTTAGTGGAAAAAACGCTTCTCCTGAAACTAGACCATTGCTTTTGGAGGCTGTCTCTATCTTCCATGTAAGTTCTTCCCATCCTTTTGAGTTCATTATAATCCTTTTTGTTCCCTCTTTCGTGGAATGCGGTAATTGTCCATGTTTCTTCTCCAATAAATGATGGAGCTACTTTGGAATTTACCTTCTCTGAATTTGTCCTCTTTATTTTTTCTCTCTCTTTTATCTGGTTATAGCATACTCTTTTTTTGGTAAGTAACTAGTATCTTAAATATTGAAGGAATGGATGTTTAAAGGTTATTTATATTTAACAAGTATGAATTAATAAAAACAATATTCAAAAGAGAAAAATATTAACTATGAAGATGTATCATGTATCCATCATTAATCTATGTTCGTATGTTGGCATTCCCTTTTGATTTATTTCCCTTTAGTTTTTCTTCAAAGGGATAATATGGCAGGTAATTATGAGTTCATATTTCTCCTAGATATATTGTTCATGCGAAGTTTTAAAAGACAATTCATCTTTGTCTTCTATTCTATGGCATCCTCTTTCTTCACAGCTCTGATACCATGATGAGTTTAAAGAAACTCAGGGAAAGATAGTGTTTGATCTGAAACTGAGTTATGAAAAGTGCTATAGCCATTTTATGTCTTATAGCGTCCAAAAAGTTATCTTAATCAGTACTAACCTGCAGTTAATTAATTTTATTTTCTAACATAATAATAGAAATTAATAACTACAAGTAGACAAGCTTTGGTGAGTGTACAGATCAAATAGAAATATTTCTAAGCTGCAGTTTACTCTTAACATGCACCTACAAGCTTGTCCATTCCTTTGCAGTTTCAGTACAAGGCTAGGAACTCTCATTGAAGGTGAGAACAAAAGAGGGTGGGGAAGAGAACTTATACATGTCTGTCACGTGATGCCTAGTAAAATCCTACATGGCAATGTTATCAACACGTTAGCAATAAAAATGTGCCGCATGTGATGTGGTTCTCTCTGCCACATAACTTGATATGACCCAGCTATAGAGGGACCAAATGCTAGCATATTTAGAAAAAGAGGTACTAAAACTCAAAACAAGCCCATTTTTTTGGAAGAAAAAGTCACCTAAACTTAAATATATGTATATATAGGTGGACGAGAATATTTATATATGAACCATTTTTTGTGGAATCTTTGCGATGTATCAGGTAGTCAGTCAATGGATTTCATAGCACCACCAGGGTGTGTCGAATGTCCTAGAATTACTACTCCCTTTGTTGTGTATGATGCAATGTTTTGAATGAATGGCCATCATCACAATTCCAATCACTCACGCCAAATGACAGTCCCTATTGGTGATATTGACAACTCCTGTGTCCTATGGTTTCTGTCAAACTTTCCTATGGTTTGAGATTCACCATATTCTGTCATTTTCTGACAACCCCTGGCATTTTGTGCTATTCACAGCAACTGCAGTCCTGTTTTGCCTCTGTTCTCAAGGTTTTCAGGTGTCTAACATGTGTAACTTAATGGATCAAAATGGAGCAAAAAAACTTAGCAGACTAAAGTGTCTAACCTTTGTAACTTAAGAGACTAAGGGCCTGTTTGGACAAACAGCTTATTTAGAGTTTATAGCACAAACGCTTATCAATATAAGTGTGTATGTATAAGCTTACATAAGCTATTTCTATATCAAATATAAAATAATGTTAAATTGTTTTGTATGTTATAAACTGTTTTCTAAAAGATATCTTAGAAAACTTGTAAAAATAAGTTAAAAAAACGCTTAGAAAACGTCATAAGCTATACTTACAAATTCTCCAAAACAGTCTTACAAAACTTATGTGAGTAGATAAGCTCATATAAGCTAACCCAAACAGGCCCTAAATGAAATGAAAAAACTTAAGGGACCAAAGTAAACTATAAAATCAACTTAAGAGACCAAAAGTGTAACTTAGCCCACTAATAAATAAAAATATGATATATATTCCTAAGATTAATTTCTAGGTACTGACAGTGTAAAATTATTTTTAAATCATGTCTGTTAGATATTCGTTGAGATATTTTAGAACTAAACTAACTAATAAAGGTGATATCATGGAGTGATTAAATTGATTATGTGTAAACAAATTTTACAGTGTCGGTGTATACAAATTAAATCCTGTTACTATTATTTTTTTTTTTTAAATTATTCAAATACTACCTCTTCAAGGTTGAACAATTGTACCTTGAGCTGGTAACTTTACTGGTTCAATGACCCTTTCGATTTTCAAAACATTGGTCTTGTGAGTATGCCACCATGACTTTTGATTACTAGTAAGTACTCTCTCTGGCCTTAATTATAAACAAAGTTACTAAATTCAGCTCTATTTATTATCATTCTTTTAACAATACCCCCTTATCTATCATCCTATTTTCTAAGATTATTGCATAGTCCGAATGCAAACTTAATGTGATATTGATAATAGTAAATGATATTTTAGTTAAATATAACTAATTTCTTAATGTGTGAAATAAGAAAATTTTGCTTATAAATAAGATTTGAGGGAGTAATAATGCTTTTTTTTTTTTTTTTTTTTTTTTTTTTTTACAATTATTTGTAGTACAAATTATTCATCTCACATAATTTTCAGTGTAGCGGCCATCAAACTAGTTGATATCCTGCTAAAGCACTATTTGGGATTGGATTATATGCACTTTGCTACACATTCACAGTTGTATGATTTTATGATGATTATCACGCTACTAATGTTTCAGATTGCTTTGCCTTGACAGGCTTTAATGGTCTTTTCATTGTAGCTTAAGCCACACCCAACTTGTTTATTAGATTTTTTGCCAATATTTTCATTGTATTTATGAACTTTATATACATGGCTTGCTTTATTGTAATATTACAATAATTGGATTTGTGATTTAAACTTTCCTTGCTTCAGCAATGCTTTGATCCTATAGTTGATGCAGCCAGTGGACGTGACCTTATTCGAGCAATGGTTTATGGGTTAGAAAATACTTTTACAGCATTTGTTTTGTCTCATTTTTCTCTTCAATTTTTATTGTCTTCACCTTTGTCTCAATTGATGTATCCTCACATACAGAAAGAGTGTGCGGGGTCAAGAGTTTGGAGGAATGCATTGTGCATTACTAATAGTCAAGTAAGAAGTGGTTTTCCATCTTTTACTTTTATTATTTGATGATACTTACAATTTAGAATACTATTTATAGTTTTTTTTTGATATTGAAGTTCTTCTGTGGTATCTGCGGGCATGCTTCGAATCTTCGGCACTGATATTGCTGAACTTCCTTTAGTTGCAACAAGTAACAGCCATCATGGGAAGGTGAGACATTACTGGTTGTCCGCCTCACTTGCATCATACACTTCTCTCTATTTCATTGAAACTTAGTGCTAAAATTTTGATTGATTTGCTGTGTATTACGGTCACTTGCGGCAATGACTTGGTATTGCATTAATTATTACTTATTTTTGGTTTTGTCCAAAACAGGGCTACTTCCAAACACTCTTCTCCTGCATTGAAAGGCTACTGGCTTTCATGAAAGTAAAGAACATTGTACTTCCAGCGGCGGATGAAGCACAGTCCATATGGACAGATAAATTTGGGTTTAGCAAGATTAAACCAGACCAGGTATAAAATCTGTTTTACTATTTTGACATTTTTGCCACTTTTCAGCCTAGGTATTTTTGAAGTTTGGATTTATTTATGTTTACTTATCATGACATAATGCCTCCAACTTGGAATATTGAGTTCTCCCTTGACCTGCAGCTTACCAGCTACAGAAGGAACTGCAATCAATTTGTGAACTTCAAAGGGACAAATATGCTTCATAAAATGGTGCCTCCATGTCGAATCATCAATAAGAATCCCCCACAAATTTTTATCGAGAAAAAGTCAATCACGAAAGCGGAAACCTCCTAGCCTTCTTGCCTCCCTTTTTTCTTCTTCCTTTCAGAGGGTTAGTTAGTTATGTGTGTACATATAATACTGTCGGCTACTTGAAGCTATTATTCGGCCCATTCTTGCGGATTATTTAAACATGAACTTTTCTATGTTACTTATAGTTTTAAGAAAACAGATATTCTTGATCTTGGATTAGTGTTCAAAGTATAACAGGCTCTACTAGTTCATTGTTTCCCACAACAGAAATTTCATGGTCTTACATTATTACTGATATTCCAGTGCAGTTTATTGTGTTAAGCCGCAGTTTCTTTTATATTTTTTTAAAAATTCGTTTTCGGAAGCTTTCCACTCTCCTCGAAACTTTCAAACAAAGTTTTAGGGTCAGTTGGTTTTTGAAGTTTTGGAGAGGGAGACTTTGTAGGGTTACATTTATATCTTGAAGTATGTTTGATATTTTTAAAAGGTTTAAAAAACTATAGTTTTATATGCTAAACTTGTTTGATATTGAGGAAACTTTCTAAAATCTCTTCCTTCAAATAGACTAGGTTTAAATTCAAAGTAAGTGCAATACAACAAAACACATGGTGCATTAGAAGATGCCAACTTCACTTCCTAACTAGAACCAAACATAAAAATAATAAAATGTTAGACCAACTCCCACTCCCACCGCCCAATAATGAATGAATGATAAACAAAAAACGTTCACTTATCTTCACCTTTTTCTAATGTCAATCTTTCTAGTTACTTAGCGTCTCCATTTTCCAATCTAATTATTTACAACATATCTTTGTCTTGCTACCAAAATTCATAATTTTTCAACATCCTTAACACTTTCAAAAGCCTACTTTTGCAATAGAGACCCATACTTTCTTATCTCCTACTCTAATCACAAGACCCCACCCATACACCACCTTTTCACATGCACATAAAAATACCATTCCTCACTACTCCATAAATCATCCCCTTCATTCAAAGCCCGTTTCTTACCACGAAATACACAAATATACCAACCAAATCCTAATACGCCAACATGAACATGAGATTCAACAGAACCCTCTTTTGGCTATCTAGCTTTGTCATCTTTTCTATTATCATTGTTCATTATACCATGCCACTTACCAGCACTTCTAACACTACTATTAATAGTTCTCAAGGTAGTTTCAGTTTTCAACTTGCCATATTAAACAAGCTAAGCGATGTTCAAGATTTCGTGTCTTTGGTGGTATCAAGTATTGCACAACATCATCATAGAGACAAACGAAACGAAAAATGTGACAGGGTCGAACGGACTTCTAAATTATTTTTAGACTGTAATGCTACCATTGTTTTCACGGTTGATTTAAAGGGTCGTGCTAACTTCAGTAGCGTTCAGAAAGCAGTTGATGCTGTTCCTGAATCTAGCTCTAATACCACTCTTATCATAATCAATTCCGGTATATACAGGTTGACATTTCTTTGTTTTTATCCTTTTTCAGATGAAATTAGAAAATGTGATTTCACCTATTTATGAAAATAATTTACCATCAATGTTAGACTCTATATAACATAATACACTAACTATTTAACTCCATATATTTGATGAATTTTAAGAGAGAAGGTAGTGGTCCAAGCCAACAAAACAAATTTAATACTACAAGGTCAAGGTTATCTTAATACAATCATAGAATGGAGTGACACTTCAAATTCCACTCATGGGACTCCCTATAGTTACTCATTTGCAGTCTTTGCTTCGAAGTTTTCTGCTTACAACATTAGCTTTAAGGTAAGCATTCTATGTAATGTATTATATTTATAAGTCAATAAATATAACACAATTTTGACATGGTAAAATATTAACATCCTAGATTGTGTGAAAACAACAGAACACTTCTCCTCCACCTTCACCAGGAGAGGTTGGAGCTCAGGCAGTGGCGCTTAGAGTTACCGGTGATCAAGCCGCATTCTATGGATGTGGTTTCTACGGCGGGCAGGACACACTCAATGATGACATGGGAAGACATTATTTTAAGGAATGTTTCATTCAAGGATCCATTGATTTCATATTTGGAAATGCCAGATCACTTTACGAGGTAATAAAATCAACTATATTTCGTCCTGTTAAGTCAGCTCAGTTGATAGCTGTGCAGAGACATCTTATTAAGTTGTGATACCAGGATTGCACCATAAACTCAATAGCGAAACAAGATGTCGGTGTTGGTGGATCTATTACAGCTCAAGGAAGACAATCATTGGATGAACAAACAGGATTTTCATTTGTGAATTGCAACATTGTTGGAAGTGGAAAAGTGTGGCTTGGAAGAGCATGGGGAGCATTTGCCACAGTTGTTTTTTCAACAACAAACATGTCTCATGTTGTAGCTCCTGAGGGATGGAACGATTGGAATGATCCATCTAGAGACCAGTTAGTAACTAACCAAATCTTATTTGCATTTTATCTATGATAGTTGTTATAAGTATAATTTTTGTGGTAACACAGGAGTGTCTTCTTTGGGGAGTATCATTGTTATGGACATGGAGCAAATTATACAGCTAGAGTCTCTTATGCAAGACAACTCAGAGATTATGAAGCAGTCACATATATGAATGTTTCATACATTGATGGGAATGATTGGCTTCTTAACTATTTAACTTGATTATGACACCAATTATGACAGTTACACCATATTCCACATTTCATAAATACGATAAATAATTTGTTTTTCTAAATAAAAATAATTCTTTTGTAATACAAATATAAATTGTGTTATTAATCAATTTCTTCATTGAATTAATCATAAAAATATATGTTATTAACCATTTGTTTTACTTATAAATTTATTAATTATTATTACTACTTCATTAATCAACAAAATAAAAAACATTAACCACTTTCAGATATTAAATTATAAACTCTATTAAGCCATCAATTTAAGTCTCATATTTTGCTGCATTGTTCGAACATCGAGGAGATAGTTTAAACATAAACTTCATTGAAAATCTTTGGGGAGATACGATAAGTTTCCCAATTCTACTGCCTCTACCATGACGACATGAATCATTAAAATATAATTTCCATGGATTCATTCCAATGTAGTTTTTTTTCGAAATTATCATGTTATTCGTAGAATTGTTTGCAAAAAAAATCAACAATTAATTTTTCATAGCATTTAAGAAAACAAATGTTAAAAAGAGAACTCAGTCAAATCTAAAATTCATGTTTCTATTTGTAGTGATATATTTGAAAAGTCAGTGGAAAGATCAAGATGGTTCAGTATTTTTTAAAACTCAAATATATATCTTAATTGTTTAGAATTATCATAATAATTTCATCTTGTGCATGGATTTATTTTAACATTACATGAAACTTGTTTGAAACTTAATTTTTAAAGTATTTTTTACTTTTATAGCAGGTGTACCGGTTACACCAATTGGTTAACCGATTACATAAACATAAAAATAGTTTTCTAGAAGATTGTTTCAAACATTTTGTTTTTTTTTAAATTGTGACATTTGAAATCGCCGTAAACTTTAAAACCGCCACAATTTTCACCAATTAATTTTTGAAAAAGTATCCGCTGTAACTTGTTACACCTTTTGTAGTAAACGGTTACACATTAAAGAATTTCAAATATTACATACCTTTTCATGAAAAAGATGATTCTAATGTTTTGCAACTTTCTTACATCTAACATGACAATGTTTCATGAATATACACTCTTTTAGAAGGGTATATTGCATGTATATATACCCGTGGTTTCCGTTTTTCAAAAAGATTCTCTTAGACACAAAAATTTCATATTTCGAAAGAGATTGTTTTATATTCAACTTTCACATCTCACAATCCAAACATGTTTCTAAACTTTCAAATATGAAATTTTCTGCATGAACTTTCATACATATTCATTAAAGTTTCATTCATATTATTCTGAACACTTAGGTGTACATGTTTGGATTGTGATCAATACAAAAAGGAAATCGACTAATATATAATTGATTCAAGGGCTATAACTTTTATTACAAACTCAGATTTGTGTATACCTTGTTGTCCAGTATTGTTGGAAATAAGAGAGTGAGAAAGAAAAGATTGTTTTCTTTTTCTCTTGTGCTGCTTATGTTAGAAGATTGTAGGATATGTCTTACTGTGATATTTTTACAAATATCTGACATAGTGGAAAATCTCTCACGCGGAGTGAGAGGACTGAAGTACTTTCGAATTGTGAGGGGAACTAGGATACATTGTCGTGTTCTTTACATTTGTACACTTTACCACTTTCTAAATAATTACCGAACCAGAAATTTGAAAGCATAATTTTAATAAATAGAAAATCGATCAAAGTACCTAATTCACCCCCTCTTAGGCGCATACTCAGCTGGATATCGCCCGCGCCTCTTAGGTGGAGTGAGAGGACTAAAGTACTTTCGAATTGTGAGGGGAACTAGGATACATTGTCGTGTTCTTTACATTTGCACACTTTACCACTTTCTAAATAATTACCGAACCAGAAATTTGAAAGTATAATTTTAATAAATCGAAAATTAATCAAAGTACCTAATTTACCCTCTCTTAGGCGCATACTCGGCTGGATATCGCTCGCGTCTCTTAGGCGGAGTGAGAGGAATGAAGTACTTTTGAATTGTGAGGGAAACCAGGATACATTGTCGTGTTCATTAAATTTGTACACTTTACCACTTTCTAAATAATTACCGAACCAGAAATTTGAAAGCATAATTTTAATAAATCGAAAATCGATCAAAGTATCTAATTCACCCCCTCTTAGGCGCATACTCGACTAGATATCGCTCGCGCCTCTTAGGTGTTATCCCGATTCTGACTCCGCTTGAGGAAACACTAAGTCCCCTATGCAAGAGTTTAGTTAGCCCGAGGAGTCTAAGTCTCTCGGGCGAAATTACGTGTAGCTCGGATGATGAGACTTTAAGTCTCAGTTGAGGCATTTGACCTCTCAGGCGAGACTTTCATCGAGCCCTCAGGAAAAACTTGTGATTAAGTATCTTACTTGTATATCGGTCATGCCTCTTAGGAATCATTCCTGATTCTAATACCGCCCGAGGAAACAATAAGTCCCCCATGTGAGATTTTAGTTAGCTTGGGGAGTCTAAGTCTCTCAGGCAGAATTACATGTAGCTCGACTGATGAGACTATAAGTTTCTCAGGAGAGGTGTTTTGATAGCTTATTTCCGTTGCCATGACGGACGAAAAGGATCTTTACTATAAATTCCAACATAAAAACATTGCCTCAGATGGCGGCAAAGATCCTCGTTACAAAGTCTAGTGAGCAATCATTTCCTTAAAGTGCGACAATGATCTTCCGTATGAAGTACATCAAACAATCATTGCCTCAAGGGGCAACAAGGTTCTTCATTATGAAATCCAACAAACAAGAATATTTAGGAAAAACATACTTGTCGGGAATAAATTGCTCAACAATTTTTCATAGGTAGATAATCATGATGTTTATTAGAGAATTACAAATAATTTTAGTTGTAATAATAACTAAGATTGTGAGCATTCCAGGTTCTAGGTAAGAGCAGTCCTTCTAACTTCTACAACTTGTATGCCTCGTGAGGAAGCTTCTGAAATATGTGATATGACCCGTCCTAGTTGGGATGTAGTTTTCCTTAGTGTTCGGGTAGAACCACTTCTTTTAAGACTATGCCACATTCTTGCATTTCTCTCGACTTGACTTTAAAGTTATATCTTCTAGAGGCCATGTGTTGGCCGTGAATTCTCGGACGTGGACGACTTCTCTTAATTTGTCAATCAGGCCTACCACACACTTCAAGCCTATCTCATTTTCTTCTTCATTAAACTGGGATCTTCATCACGAGGGCGTGTCAATATCCACAGGTAGCATCACATCTGCTTCATAGACCATGGTAAACAAGGTTTCCTTGGTGGTGGAATACAAAATGGTGTAATATAACCATAATATCTCATATAGTAGTTCCATCCATAAACCCTTGACATCATAAAGCTTCTTCTTGAGTCCCTTCAGAATTTTTTTTGTTCGTTGGCTCCACTTGGCCATTGGCTTGAACGTGTACAACAAACATATACTTTGCATGTACTCCCAAGCCTTTGCAAAAGTTAGTGACCATAACACCTGCAAATTGGATCCCATTGTCGGAGACATCCAAGAAGTCCATATCTACACATAATCTTCTGCCAATAGAAACGACAACTCTCTCTACTGTGATTTGGGAGACATCCTCTGCCTTTATCCATTTAGTAAAGTAATCGATTTCCACTGTGAAGAACTTCAATTTACTGGATAAGGTGGCAAAATTAAGAATATTGTACCGATAAAAAAAAATATATGTGCACGTTTCTCCTATAAGGGTAGGGGGACTCAGAGGCCTTAGTAGATATATTAAGCTGTATGGTAGTTAGAGTTTGTCCATGGCGGCGAGAAACCCTGTATAATAGTGTTTTATGGTGGTTTTAGGAGTCCTGTTCATGTGAGGTGAGATGCTATGTGGATGAATGATGTGCTTAGGTATAAAATTTTGAGTGATGTGATTAGAATGAATTATGTTCTATCTAAGCATTGCGTTTAGGGTGTAATGATCTGTCTTTTTCTTATACGAGGGAGGTGTATTTATAAAGGTCTCTAGGGTCTAGGGTTCTCTTAGGAAAGGTCACCGTCCACTCAGTCAATGATGAACATTTGAATTCCTATTTTTAAGAATGACGTTAGTTGGTTAATGACCCTGACTTCTCTTTGCCCTAGAAACTTCTTTTTCCACATTTCTCATGAGTGAGAGATAGGAAGACCTTGGGGCGAGACGATACCTCCCTTTGGGCGACATGTTATTGTCACCTCTCTTTGGGCGGCCTATAACCATCGTTTTAGTAGAATCCTTTTACAAATATAACATTACAAATACTATCAATCCTTCTGCAAAAAATACTTTATTGAAGCCTAATTTCTTAAGCAATGAGAGAATAAAAGAGTAGTTAAGAGTGTCAAAAGACCTTGGTTATATCAATTTTCATTGCCAAGTTCCCATCATAAGTTTTGTTGTGCAAAATATTAATGGCTTCATATAATGAGTGATCCAATTGACTATTTCATATAAAATAAATAAATAAGAGAAGAGATATTTTTATTAAAGTGCCCTTTATCAAATATTAAGAATGATGAAAACAATATTAATTAAAAATAATAATTAAAAATATACATTAAAAATTAAAATACATAATTTATTTTAACACACTTTTGTTATGTTATATAAATCACCCGGTCTTTAGAAATAATCTACCGCGTGAAGGTGATTGGTCTAAAACTCTGAAAAAGAGTTTGTAATAAACATTTTACGAATGAGATTTAAATATGAGAAATGTTAGATTTACACAGATTTTTTTTCTTTGAGAAGCATTAAAATATATAGATACACCCAAATTTGACAATAATATATATATAAATATATATATATATATAAATATATATATATATATATATATATATATATATATATATATATATATATATATATATATATATATATATATATATATATATATATATATATATATATATATATATATATATATATATATATATATATTGTTCAATTCACTTATTTTCTTTATTTTATTATTTTGCATGCATTGAATTTGAGCCATAGTGGAAAT